ATAGAAGATTACTTTTGAGCATAAAATTTCCTCGGAATCATTTGATTATTCTTAATCCCTGAATTCCTATCCCTATTTCAATATTTTAAATTAACAACACAATCAAGGTAAGAATGAAAACCAAACCTAGCGTCGTCCAAATCAAACGTAAAATATAAAAATATTTAGCTTCATTTAACATTTCTAACTTAGCTTTTCCATATTTTTATATCAAAAGTTCTAGTTCTTATTTTCCGGAAATAATTCTATTATACAATAGTTGTCCTCCGACGCTGACAACGTCTCCGGACATAACAAATGATTCTCTCGCGTTTAGGCAAAATCATCGATAATCTAGAGATACTTCCGGACTAGCAATTCAATTTCCGAGCGCGAAATTCGGCGATACACCAATTGCTACGTATAAGGAACCTTATTAAGAATGCAGTTGTCAAGCACCTGTCCACGGCTCTCCTATTACTAGACAGTGGAAAAGCCTTCGACTGGGTCTGGTACAAGGGCCTCATCTGCCAACTTATCAATTCCATAGCTCCGACGTATTTATATAAACTCCCTCATTCGCACTAGAGGAATGGCCAGATACGGGTACGTGTTATTTCTTCATTGTTTACACCTAGAGCCATTATAGCTGGTGTACTACAAGGCTCCGTTCTATCCCACAGCTTATTCAATTCCGTTTGAAGATTTTTGTTTAATAATTATGTTATTAAACTTTCGCTTAATTCGAAATCGAGCGAACAAATCACATCGATTTCACAATCGTCCACACGGCTTCATCCACGGTATGTGATGGCCACATTTAACAGTCGGAAATTCTATCGAATCAAAAGTGCGGACAATGCACCCGAGCTTTTCTCGAACTCCAAGCCAATTGGTTCCGAAGGAAATTAATCAGGCCTGTCCTGCCTCCATCAAGGAGCGTAGAAAGGGGCGAGCTCCTCCAGATGGATTGATACTGGTTTCCGGTATCAGTTAAATACCCTTTGCCCGGAGTTTATCATCTATTGGACCATTTTGGAATCATCATTGATCAGAATTACGCACAACTTCGTATTGATTAATCCTGCGTCATTATAAATAAACTAACTCTCTCCGGATCCGGGTAACCAGATGCAAAATACCTCGATCTCGTTCTTCCCAAGAGGAGTTGTGTGCAAAGACACATAAATCAATTGTTAAAGGGTCAGTCTATAAAACGAGACTCTTTGTCGTGATGATGTTTCATAGATATTCTAACCCAATGTGTGTAGGGTTATATAAAATATAATAGGATTTTTTGTCTGCTATCTCGACCCTCCCCGCAGATTTCTCGAATCGTCGAAGGGTGTGAGGACTGGGGCCCGAGTGTTTGGGGAGTTAGGACACCTGGAGACAGGCACCAGCAAAGGGCGGATACGTAGGAACTTCCTGGCCTTCAGCATAGGACTCGGGGGGG